TGGTCTCCATAGCCCCAGTTGTTGGCTCAGCACTCTACCTCCTATGAGCCTGTGCTATTGTTGCACCGTTGTCTGTACAACCTTTTTCCCACTTCTGATTCAAGCAATTCCCAGGATTATGGAGACACCATCATTGTTGGTGGTATTGATCTTGCTGGAACCTGTAGGCTGTTAGGTCTGAAGGACACACAGACCTCTTTTTATCCATAAAATACCAAAGTCAGTATTATTTTCCCTGTGGGACCAGTATATAGCACTGAACTCAGTGAGTTTGCTCCCAGCTCAGTGCATGTGCAACTAACTGCTGTCTCTGTAGTCTTAACACCTTTGCCACACTTCACCTTGGATGGAACTTGTAGGATGCCACATTGTTGCAGTTCACTGAGCCAGAGATGAGTTCACTCCCAGCTCAGTGCATGTGCAGTACTGTCTTATAGCCTTTGCCTCCTTAACCAAAATAGTGCCTGATGCGGCTCTAGGGGAAGGACTGGGCTGTGAAGCCCCCCTGTTCCCACACTGCCTATTTGGGACCTGCTGTTCTGTCTCTGCTCCTGGTCAAATCAAGCAAACCAGCAGGACATGCAGTTCTTTGTCTGGGTTTAGGTCCTTAATTCCCAGTGAATTCCCCTTCCCACCGTTTTGCTGGTGGAGTTCTGGCTGCTGGTGCAATTCCGATCACCACTAGCTGAATGCCACTGGGGAATCGGTCACTGCAACATCACACCGTTGTGTCCACTGCTTTCCTGTGTCTGTCAGTCTTCAGGTGCCCCTCGCCGATCTGTCCTCTCCTATTTCCTAGAATGTTCCCTCTCTGCGTCACACTGGCTAATGTTTCTCCATCTGTTTAATCATGTCCTTACCCTATCCTGCCATCTTGAGTCTCTTAGAGCTGATTTTTGTGTAAGGTGACAGGTGAGTTCTTGCTTCTTACCTTTGCAGGCTGTTATCAAATTGTCCCAACAGTATTTGCTTAAGAGAGCAGGTGTTTCCCTGGATTATTTTCAGTTCTCTTGTCAAAGATTAGTTGGCTGTACATGTGTGGGCTCCTCCTGAGGTTTCTTTTTTCTGTTCCATTGATCTTCTCTGTTTCAGACCGTTTTGACTAGCACTGTCCCGTAATATGTCTTGAGGTCTGGAACTGTGACTTCTTCAGCTTGATTTTTATTTTTCAAGATGGCTGTGGCTATTCATGGTCTCTTGTGTTTCCAGATGAACTTTCATGTCATCTTTTCTATTTCTGAAAGGAACGTATTTGTGATTTTGTTTGGGATTCCATTAAATCTGTATATTTCTTGGAGTAATATGGGCATTTTGATGATGTTGGTCCTGCCAATCCAGAAACATGGTATATTTCTCCGTCTTTTAATATCTTCTCCTATTTCTTTTTTAATGTTTTATAATTTTCATCATAGAGGTTATGCTTAATCCAAGGTACTTAAGATTTTTCTTTGTTATTTTAAAAGAGACTGTACTTACAATTTCTTTCTCAGCTATGGAGTTATTTGTGTATTCTAGGGCCATGGATTCATGTTCGCTAATTTTGTATCCTGCTACGCTGCCAAGCTCTCTTATGAGTCTCAGTAGTCTCCTTATCGAGTCTTTTGGCTCTCCTATGTGGAGAACCATGCTGCTTGTGAACAGGGATACTTTTATTTTCCTCATTTCTGATTTTAATCCCTTGGTGAAAGTGGACATCCTTGCTTATTTCCAGATCTTAGTGGAAAACTTCCAGTCTCTCTCCAGTCGGGCGTTTCATATGTTGCTTTGATTGTGTTGTGAGACATTCCTTCTACACTTATCTTGTTTAGGGTTTTTAGCATGAAGTAGTGCATTGTGTCAAATCCCTTCTCTGCGTCTATTGAGATGATCATATGGCTTTTATTCTTCAATTTGTAGATGTGGTGTATTATATGCATTGGTTTGTTATGTTAAACCACCCCTATTCTTTTGTAAGATTTATTTATTTTTATTTTTATTGGAAAATAAGATTTACAAAGAGAAGGAGAGACAGAAAGATCTTCAGTCTGCTGGTTCATGCCCCAAATGGCCATTGTTGAGCCAATCCAAAGCCAGGAGCTAGGAACTTCTTCCAGGTCTCCCACATAGCCCACATGACCCAATGGCCCAAGGCTCTGGGCCGTCCTCTGCTGCGTTCCCAGGCCACAGGCAGGGAGCTGGTTGGGAAGTGGAGCAGCCAGGACATGAACTGGCTCCCATATGGGATCCTGTGCATGCAAAGCAAGGATTTATCTACTTGGCTACTGCACTGAGCCCCTTTTCTTGTAGCATCCTTGAATGAGTTTGGCCCAGAGTATTTCTGACCTCATAAAATGCATTTTTCTCATACTCACCCAAATGTTAGATGTGCTTTCCAGTCCACTGACTTGTTTTCTAAACAATTGCTCTTGGGCCCAGCGCAACAGTGGTTAAGGTCCTCACCTTGCATGCCCTGGATCCATATGGGCGCCGGTTCTATCCCGGCAGCCCTGCTTCCCTTCCAGCTCCCTGATTGTGGCCCGGGAAAGCAGTCAAGGATGGCCCAAAGCTTTGGGAACCTGCACCCGTGTGGGAGACCCAGAAGAGTCTCCTTGCTTCGGACCGGCATAGCATCGGCCGTTGTGCTCACTTGGGGAGTGAATCATCGGACGGAAGATCTTCCTCTCTGTCTCTCCTCTCTGTATATCCACCTTTCCAATAAGAAAATAATAAAAAAATAAATCTTTAGAAAAAACAATTGCTCTTAGTGGCTGTGGGATACCCTGGCTGTTTGAGTGCAGTTGCTGTTACTGCACTTTTCATGCAGGGTAAAACCACCAACCCAACCTTAGGCCAGCCCCTTGAATTTCAAATTTCACATCAGGTACAAGGTATTGGAGAGATTAAAGAGCACCAGTGGCTAACAGGAAGACATCTTACTAAATACCAGGCTTTGCTTTTAGGTGTACCTGGTCTGCTTTCATGGTATGTTAGGTCCTCAATCCAAACACTTTTCTGCAATCAGAAGGTACTGAAAAGCTAGTTCATTGTGTTCAGAGACCATAGAACAGTTCTACTCCAGCAAATGAATGTTTGGAAAACCCGGATTATGAATGGTTCACTGATGGCATAGTTTCTTGAAGGAAGGCAAGACATGGGGGCCAGCACCATGGTGCAGGAGGTCAAACCTCTGACTTTAGAGCCAGCACCCCATATGGGTGCCCATTCCAGTCCTGACTCCAGTCCTGCTCCAGTTCTTGTCCAGCTCCCTGCTAATGTCCTGGAAATTCAACACAAGATGGCCTGCATGCACCGGCCCGTATACCCACATGGGACACGCAAATGGAGTTCTAAGATCCTGGCTTGGGCCTGGCTCAGCTCCAGCTGTTGTGGCAATCTGGGGAGTTATCTCAGGAGTGAGCCAGTGGATGTTCTCTCTCTCTCTCTCTCTCTCTCTCTCTTTCTCTCTCTACCCCTCACACCTCTCTCTCCCTTCCTCCCTCTTCCCTCTTCCCACACATACCCTATCTCTCCCTCTGTATTTCTGTAACTCAGACTTTCAAACAAACAAATCTTTTTTTAAAAATCTGGGAAAGGCCAAAAAATCTGCATTCACACAAACCCCAAGTCTGTTTTCCTTGTGCTATGTGCACATGCAGTAATTTGGAAACAGGAACCAAAAAGGCAACATTCTGCCGTTAAACGTGAACTGGAAATCTTAGCACTGCTCCAGGCAGTTGTGCAGCGTCTGAAAGCAGCTGTTACCCATTATCAAAGGCACCACACAGAAATAGTCACATCCTCAGAGAAGGAATACTGATGGACAGTACAGCAAAAAGCAAAGATAGCTGCCACTCAAAGAGTTCTAGAAATGATTCTGCTATCCTAGCCTCTGCTGGAAATCCCTGCTCTACCAGACCGAGGATCGAATGGGCCCAGCAGTGAGGTTATGCTGGACAGTTCAGTCTTTATAAGCTTCAAATCGTAAGAGCAAGCACCCAGTGGTGTCTCAATAAAAACATCACAAGAAAAATAAAAGGAAAGAGAAATACCTGACTCTACCCATCTGGGGAGAGGGGCCTGAATGTAGATAGTCTCTTCTGTATTTGGAGGGAAAGGAAGATAACGGTTTTAAGGGAAGTAACTAGATCCCATTTCCTCTGCCTATGAAGCCATGGTGCCACACCCAGCCATCTCCATTCCTCACTGCTGTACAAAGCAGAGAAACCTGCCCTGGTGAGGACTGGCAGACTGACTTAGTAGCACGGCCAAATGGTCACAGACACTTACCTTATGGATGTTCCCGTGTGATGGATAGAGGCCTTTCCAACCCAGACAAACTGCAAGAAATATCCAAATCACTGTTTCATTCACTTTGATTCATACATATAGAACCACATATGGCAAACAATCAGTTTAGGTCAGGTGCAGGAGGCTCTGACAGGTCATGGCAGCAAGACGATCCTTGTGGCAGAGTCCAAAAATCGTGAACAACCAACCTCTCAAAGAGATCTAGATCCCACCCCAACTAGTTACTGAGTAAATGGATTGGCGCTCCTGTGAAGTTAGATCACAGGGATTCTCTAGCTGTGTGTATCTGTCGAAAAGTAAACCTCTACTGTTTTTCAATAGGAAACTAATTGAAATACCTGCAGGAAGCTACTTTAAGTAACCTCCTCTATTGCCATGGGAAACTGAGCCCAGATCACTGTCCAGGCTCTATTACAACCATATGATTTTGTGGATTCCATTGCTGAAGTGACCATGAACAACCAACTAGTTCTAAAACATCTACTGGCAGGAAAAGGTGGAATAAATGCAGCAACTAATGAAAACCCGTCACACTTACATTGGCAAAAGTGTGCTCAGAGAACAATATACCAAGGTTTATAAGCAAGCCAAGCTGTTCTATGATTCTGGTAAGCCTGTCAACTTCACCATCTGGGAGGCAACAGGAAGTGCTGCTCTCTCCCTGATGTGATTCTTCAGCTGTACTCTTCAATGCTCATGTTTGTCTTTTCCAGATCCAACAGTTACACGATTGAAACCATGGCCGTGAAAGCATCGCATCCACTGTCAACAAGCGACAGCAGACCTCCAACTCCTCAAAGATGTCTCTAGATACTTCAGCTGGAGATGTTTGTTACTTGGCTAGACAGGAACAATGCCCTGACACAGCATGAAGAAGTTACTGAACATAGACCTTTTTCAAACCTGCCATTAAGATCAAATGATGAGCATCTCTGAGGGAGGAATGCTATGGGAACATAGGCACTTACAAGCAGAAGTTAATGATTAACGTCTATCTAGGGGATTACATTTTCCACAACCATGGCTGGTCTGCCCCAGGACAGCTGCAGCCAACACATATGACATCCTGGCTCAGCCCACATCACGGGTCCCCTTCTGTATATCATCCAGGCTCCCTTCTCTCTCCATGCATAAGCCAGGCCTCCCTCCCCTTTCTGTACGTGGTACAGGCTCAGCTCGCACACACCAGGGGACACCCTTCCCTTTCTAAGTGACAGACACTGCAAGTTACAAACTTGTAACAAACTCTCACTGGAAATATCCACCAGGGCTGCAGGATGCGTCCCCCTTCCTAGACCTTGATGTCACTAGCATGACATTATATAAGGGCAGTGCTCAATCCCCACCCACATCTCTGCCCCTTGTGAATAGTTACTAACTCTGCTCCAGATGTAAGCCCCAGTGCCTCCAGAGGGAGAAGGGATAGGCCTAACCTCCTTGACTGGCCTCTTATTCCTTTGTGGAGGACTTCGCCTTAATGGACATTATTTTTTGGTTGTTGTTGTTGGAAGATCCTCCTTGGAGATGCATTCTTCTTTGTTGTCCTTTTGCATTATTGGCTGTTTTGTTCATGCATGACTGCTTTTTTGAGCTTGCACTTTCATTTTGTTCCAAATAAACTCTGCTCTTATGTACATTTCCAAGCCTCCACTTTTGAATTCTTACATGCATGGAGGTAAACCCTGCAGTAAGCTGAGTCTAGAGCCCTCTAGTCCCACAGCACTGCATGAAGACCTGGGTGAGTTCTGGCTCCTTGCTTCAGCCTGGCCCAGCCAGGAATGTGGGAAATGAACTAGCAGATGGAAATTTTCTTTCGCTTTTGATTTTTTTTTTTGTTAAAAAATGTTTAAGGATATATTTTATTTAAAAGTATAAAGTTACAGAAAAAGAGAGAGAGAGAAGCTGAGACACAGAGAGATCTTCTGTCTGCTGGTTCACTCCCCAAATGACCACAATGACCAAGACTAGACCAGTCCAAAGCCAAGGATCCAGGAACTTCTTCTGAGCCACTCATGTAGGTGCAAGGACCACCCTTTGCTGCTTTTCCCAGGCCATTAGCAGGGAGCTGGATCAGAAGTAGATCATCCAGGATTTGAACTGGCTCCCATATGGGGGTCTTCGCATCACCAGCTGTGGCTTCAGCTAGTATGTCACAATACCAGCTCCAGGAATTTTCTCTCTGTGTCCTCCTAATACCTAAAAAGTGATTTCTCATAAATTAAGCACTGCAATAATCCCTCCGATATGAGTGAACAAGAAGTACTTCCAAAGTGAAAGTGTATCCACTTTGATTTACATCGGAGATAGCTTGTATTATTACATTGGAGGTGGGTACTGTGGCACAGTAGGCTGAGCCACTGTCTGGATTGTCTGCTTCCCATTCAGAACATCCGGTTTGAGTACCAGCTACTTTGAGCTTCCAATCCTGCTAATGGCCCTGAGAGGGAGCAAACAATACCCCAAGCGCTTGGGTTCCTGTCATCCAGGAGGGAGACACACGTGCAATTCCCACTCACGGCTTGAACTTCTCCTGGATCGCACTGGAGGGGCAAGCCAGCAGATGGAAAGTCTCTTTTCTTCTCTGTCATTCTGCCTCTCAGATAAATAAATAAATAAATAAATAAATCTCTTTTTTTTTTACCAAAAAATAATGGTTATGATGCCAGAAAAAAAAAAAAAAACGTGCAATAAGACAGCAGATAACTAGAATATTCCAGACAAGGGAAGAGTGTGCGCAAAGATGCAAAGCAAAGAGAAAACACTGTTTTCATAGAAAAAGAAATAACCAGTCACACAGAAAGAACACAAATGTAACGGAATGTAAGTTTGGACAGGCAGCCAGAAACAGCATTGTGAGCTACGAAGTCTTCTCCGACTAGTTGAGAATGCAAAGTCTGTGTGTGTGGAGCACCGGAAACCGTCCTGTGTGTGCCTACGGGAGGCTCTTCTTGCTATGGCTGCTGTCCTCACACCTGTGTGATAATCAATCCTTAAGTGTAAGCTTGCAGGGGGCCCCCCTCACAGGTACTCTGTTCAGGTCTCTTGTCCGCAGCCTCCTGCGCTGCGCTCCCCAGACGCCCATGCCAGCTCTGGTCCTCGGCTCAGAGGCATCGCCCTGCACCGCCCCTGCCTGGCTTCCCCTCAGGCTGCTGGGACCTACAAACTGTCCTTGACCTATAAGCTTGAGCAATCACAGGACTCTCTTGCATTGCCTTTTGCGTAGCAGCTGAAAATCAATTGCATATCTTGTCCATGGTTTTTATTGTTTCAGGCGGGAGATGAATCTTATCCCAGTTATTCCATCTTGGCTTGAAGAGACATTTTAGTTTGTTTTTTTTTCCCCACAAATTTATAACCTCATGCTCTCAAAAGAGGAATGCAATTATATGAAAAGTAGAAAGAAGGACTAAATGTTAGCACTAGCTTTTCTGGCTCAATTTGCAAGAATCAAGTCTTTAAAGAAACCTTAGAAAATTCGTTTTTCTGGTTTACTGGCTGCCTTTTACTGCAAGGTAGAATAGGAATCTGACATCACGGCATGCAAACTGGGGGGTCACCCAGGAGACAGTAGAGGGTGGTTACTGAATAACCAGCTAACACCCTCAGCCCATTACCTTATACAGTCACTGTAAGTATTCATTAAATATTCCTATTCATAATAGAGGTAATAGATTAATAAATGCAACTGATTTTATTTTTTTTTTTTTTAACTTACTGGTTTGTTTTCTTGTTTGAAAGACAAACTAACAGAGATCTTCCATCCATTGGCTCTCTCCCCAAATGGCTACAGCAGCCAGGGCTGTGCCAAGAGCCAAGAGCCAGGAATTCCATCCAGTCTCACATATGACTGGCAGGGATCTAAGGACTCAAGCCATCACCTATTATTTCCCAGGCAGATTAGCAGAGATCTATATCAGAAGCAGAACAGGCAGGACTCCAATTAGCATTCCAATAGATGCCAGAGGCATCCCAAATGATAGCTTACCCACAACACTCACCCCTCCAATTAATTTTAATCCCTTTTGAAATCCACTAGACCTCCCCCGCCCCCAGCTGTAGGCAACTGTCCAAGCTGTAGGCAAGTGTTGGACTGCTGGGAGAAAAGCAGCTAATAGCTGGCGGACATTCTGGAGCTGGCTAATGCCAAATTTGTGTTAACTATATTGGTGTGCCAGCATAGTTACCTATTTTATTTTTCTTTTGTTTGAAAGATAAGGGGGTCGGGGAGGCAGATTCCTGCATGCCAGCAGAGGAGGGTCTGAGGACTCGCACCCACATGAACAGGAACCCAAAACAGCACAGCACACTGCTGGAGGACTGGGTGTGGGGATCAGAGGGCCTGTGGGCATGGAGGGCTGCGGAATGGGCAGAGAAGGGGATCTGGGGATGTGTGGGAGAGAGGACTGCTAAGGAGAATGTGACAGGTAGCGAGTAACTTTTGGGGGACTTCCAGCAAACAAGCTATTGCACTTGCAAGTAAACAAAGGGGCTAAGTGGGGGTGGTTTGGAGAAAGGAAACCAGAGGAATTTTCAAGACCAAATCAACACACCTGCCCATATGGGAGATCTGAGCTGGGCTTGCTGGTATCAACCAGCATTTAGCAGTGCACATGAACGCCATGGAGCGGAGGCGTGCCTGGCAGGGCTCAACCACAGTACCCACCAGTGCGTGTCGGGACAGGGGATAGACCATGCCAGGCTAGCCCATGACACTAACCAACATGCAAGAGAACAAGGTCTGAGAGCAGATTCTGTGGGATTCACCCCTGTGGGAATGCCATAGCAGTTTGCTAGAGGGCTTAAAGTGGTGACAATCCAAGTGAGACATGACCATGGAAATCATCAACACTCATGGGTACTGGGGTTGGGAACAGGCTGCAGCATCCATAGGCACACCCAAGAATTGGGCGTGAGTGGGCAAGACCAACATCCATCACCACACAGAAAGGTCAACTCTCGGGTAAGAAGAGCCTGACATCTGCAGGCACGCATGAGATCCGGATCTGGGAGTGGGCCTGATTGGGAAATTTGGGGAACTCCCCTGGTGGGTCATACCTCCCACTGGTGGGCACGTGAGTCATCTGGGTTTTGGTGAAGCCAGACAGGACTGCTCCACTCATTGGCAGATGTGTGGGTTGGCTCTGGAAGAGCAGACCCAGCAGGAATAAACAAAACCATAACACACTGGTGTGCACAGGGGCCAGGATGGTGTGTGGGACATGCTGGGCTAAGCTAGGCTGTCTCAACTAGTGGTTTGCATGAAATCCAGGGATGGGAGCAGACTGGACAGTATATATCAGAGTTGGGGACTGATGGCGAGTTAATCCAGGCCAGGCTATGGCATCTGATGACAAAGGCCAAGGCAGGGGATGGGTTATGCCAGGCTGGGTCAGAGCAGCCATAGTCACATGCAAGATCTGTGGCTGGGAGGGACCTGGTCAGGGAGCTAAGGCAATATCCCAGCCAGACTCTGGTTCCCACCAGCAAGCGCGAGAGCTGGAACAGGGGTGCCAAATTGGGCTGTACATGGCTGCAGCATCCCTCAGCATGGGTGTGAACTGGGTCTGGGGTGCACCAGACTGGGCTAGGCTCCAGCACCCATTAGTGCTCACAGGAGCCATGGAAGGTATAGGACAGGTTATGCCAGCTCTTGGCACCCACTGAACCACATGAAAGCTGGGTCAGGGGTGGACCAGGCAAGGCTGGACTGTAAGACCCAACTGTAAGAACCTGAGTGAGTGTAGCTTTGTCAGACAAGGCCAATGTACCTGCCAGGACAGGAGGTAGGCCAAGTCAGGATGGGCCAAGAA